TAAGCCTGCAACGGCCCTGTTTGCTTTTAGCCAATTCTATGGTTGCAGTGGGTGGGAACTCTCCATGGTGCTGACCAGGATTCAGGCCATAATCAGGCATCACTGATGCAAACCAGAGAACCTTCAAATGGATGGGAGGGAAAATACTGATAACTTTAGAACCCGGTACAGGAAGGAAAATGGAAGGTTAGGTTTGAGAAGAGAACAGGCATTGTCTGCAGTGGGGAGCGAGGCATCAGTTCTGTATACTTTCACGGGTTTGTACTGGGGGTGAGAAAAGGGACGGAAAAGGAGATGAAGTCCATCGCTCTGGAGTTCAGGTGACCACACAGCCATGTGGCCGTCCATGCTTGGACCTCTTATCTGTCTAGGCTACTCAGTTGAGAAGATTATCTGGCCCCCTGAGTCTCTCGGCGAGAAGTACCCCTGCAACAAGTGACAGAAATAAAACAAGCCTCCATCAGGATCCCCAGACTGCCTCCAGCAGTTAGCATGGTTACAGGCACTTGCCAGTCCGGTCTTCATATGTTCCAGCTTGCCTTTTAAAAAAGACTAGGTTGCAACCGTCTCCTTTGAGAAATACTGGACCCTTGACGGAAGGGAAAAAAAGGGGGGGGGGATAAATTTTTCCCCCATATAAAAATACTGTAGTTAAATAGATTTTTACACCTTACAAAATCTCTTACATGTAGGAAAGCTGCCTCAAGTCAGTTTCAAATCCAAGGGAGAGGATAACCGTAGATGAATTCTTAAAAGGGTGAAATGTTTTGAGCTCTATAACTACTACCGCGTTGGCTGAGACGTTACAGTTTTAGTCCAAAAACATACTATTCCCAAGCACCGGCCATCTATGATGGTCCCTTCATTTATTGGAAGGTGGCAGTGAGCTCGCCAACATTGGAGGCTTGAAGAGAATGTTAGACAGATACCTGACGGACCTACTTTGGTTGGGATTCCCGCCTTGACTGGGGAGTTAGTTGGACCCAATGGCCTTGGAGGCCCCCTTCCAACGCCACGGTTCCACGAAGGGCTGATGGAGAGGTAGCAAGTGGGGAAAGGTCAGTCACCAAGTTTTGTCGCCCTGCAAGAACTGGAACCTTGGTGCCTCTCCAAGCACCGTGCATGCTCTAATGAGTTCACCACATGGATGGAAAGGTGAGCGAACAAGTGCCAGGCAAACTGGTCAGGCTTCATGCCGCCGCAGCCTTCAACGGCATGCCAAGAAAACTGGACACGAGGCATCGACTAAGGACGTGAGAGCGGCAGCTGGTAACCCTTCATTCCAGCCAACATCGTTGACCAATTTGAGAAGTTGCTAAAGCTGCCAAGCACAAGTTGAACTAACGGGCACAGGAGAGGCTAAATATAATAGTCTCTTTGTGTACAGAAGCCTGAGGGGAGATCTGATAGTGCTTTTCGAAGATGTGAAAAGTATTCGTACAGGGGAGGGACAAGATCTGTTCTCCATCCTCCCAAAGTGTAGGACACGCAACGATGGGCTGGCGTTACAGGAAGCCACATTTTGGCTGGATATGAGGGAAAACTTCCTAACTGTTAGAGCGGTAGGACAATTGGGCACAGGAGAGGCTTAATATAATAGTCTTTGTGTACAGAAGCCTGGGGGGAGATCTGATAGCGCTTTTCAAAGATGTGAAAGGTATTCGTACAGGGGAGGGACAGGATCTGTTCTCCATCCTCCCAGAGTGTAGGACACGCAACGATGGGCTCGCATTACAGGAAGCCACATTTTGGCTGGATATGAGGGAAAACTTCCTAACTGTTAGAGCGGTAGGACAATGGGACCCATGACCTGGGGGGCGGGGGAGTTGAGGGCTCCTGTGTTCAAAGCATTCAAGAGAGTATTAAGGCAACCCTCTCTCAGATCTTTGATTTGGGTGCCTGCCTTGAGCAAGGGGTTGGACTGCCTCTTCCAGCTCCATGATTCTAGGGTTCTTCTATATGTGGGGATGCCTGATGCCTGCAAGGGTGCAAGAATGCTCATTTTCACCCCTTCAATCCCTGCCTCTACCCGGGGGCTGAACCAGGAACGGTGCCACTAGGGCCTTTACCCCAGGGCATCAAAACCTGCTTGGGGGGGGGTCTACGGGTTAGTGTTAGGAAAATAAAGGGCAGCCTCTCCCAGCCCTATTAACGTCCCTTTTCTTTTTCCCAGCATAAGCACGACTTTTCTTTTTGCGGGGCAGCCTGGCGTTCCCTTCCTTTTTGATGGAAGAGTGTGATGCTTCTGGCAGGTGCCAAGACGGGTCAGGTCACGGCTTTGCCTATAACCGATAGCCCTCGGCTCCACCTGCCATGGCCCGCTGTGTCTTCTGCCTCAGCCACCTTATAACCTCTTGCTAAATAACTGGGGAAGGAAGGAAAGAAGGACCTAAACTGGAGTGGCTGTTATCTACATCTTCTGGAGGGCAAGAGGAGAGACAGGAAAGGTGTCATGGTGCCAGACGGGCACTAGGTGGCGCCAGCCATTTACAGGTAGAGAAGATGATCAGACCATCGAATGCACCTCTTAATGCCACCGTGGTCATCATCATCTGAGAACTGCAGAGCTAGAAGGATCCCAGTTTGGATTAAAATACTAACATGCATAACCTCATGGTGGCTTTAGACTGATTGACTTCATTACATGGTGCTATTCTCTTTCATTCATCAAATCTAACAAGCGGTCTTAATGACCGCTTCTAAAATGTCTTTTATAACCTTCTGGTGTCCTATTTCTTCAATGTTCATTTGTATGGTGAGGGGGAGACGTTACAAGGGAACGGTGGGTGGGCTTCACAGTTGATTTTCGACTGTCTTTTGTGCTATCATTGACTCGGTTAGCGGTTGCATCTGTTCCTGGCCTTTCTTCCACTGATCTCAAGGCACTTTCTTCCGCTCCCTTTCTGATGACATCAACCCTGTGAGGTAGGACAAGGGAGGGGGAGAGAGAGAGAAAGAATACCATCGGCCCAAGTTTGGTTGGTGAGTTTCATGGATCTTCCTGATCACGATCCAGCCCTTTCCTTGCTACACCACATAAGCTTTAGTTTGATAAGACGGCCACACTTTCCCACACTCTGGCCCAGCTCTTCCATTTTAGACGAGAAGCACACACCGAGAATACCGAAGGATCCTACACCCAAGAAAAATCCCTTCCACCTAGAAAGGTAGCCCAATATTTCCTGTGACTTCTTCATTTTGTTTGCTGGTGGGAGGGTGGGGGAAAAACCTGTGATTCCCACTGCAGTTTGAAAAACTGCTTTGGCGCAAGCAACGTCCCCACCCTTCCACCGTCAGCCTCCCTCCCTGCGTTGCAAGGCTGAAATGGAAGAGCCAATCTGGCTTGCTTTGGCAACTCATCTCTGCCTGGAGCAAAGTTCCAATTACCTTTGACAGAGGAGCTCAGCAGATTTCACAGGCTGAAGAAAGGATATTCTTTATAAATCAAGAAAGACTCCCTGGCCTCCCTCCTGCTGTAGGTGTTTTTTTTACCCCCTCTGTCTTTGAAAAGGCTTGCACATTCTTGAGGCAGGCAGAGCCCTGCTCACCTCGTAAATGCAAAAGCCAAGTGGGCCTACCTGCCCCTCCTTCCTTATTCCCAGGGACTACAGGTCTCACCTGAGGCAGGAGGGCAGGGAAGTGGAAGCCGGAAAGGTAGCCACCCAGGGCCCAACATTTTGGAGAGGCAATGCGCCCAAGGTCTGTGATATTCCCTCCCCCTTTGGGTTCTCTCTCTTGGAGTGGAATATGCCTTGGAAAGGAGGGCTAGTCTCCCTAAAAGAGAGCCGGTTGAGTCCCACGGTCCCCTTGGCAAGAAAGACAGACAGGGATTTCTATGTGTTAGCACCCCAAATGCACAACTCCCTGCTAAGAGAAGTCAGCCTGGTTCTGACCCTGCTCAGCTTCTTCTGGGCATCAGAAACTATTATTTCCCAAGGTTGATGGTCCTGAAAATGACCGTTTTCAATGATTTCTTTTTCAAAGTTGCTGAACGTTGAACACAATGGATCTGATCTCCTGTTTCACTGACCCAGAGCGGTCTACCCTGTCCCACATTTTTCTGCTCTGAATTTACAAAGAATCGCCGAAAGGCCGCGGAGAGATCCGGAGAAGCCAAAGCTGAACTTTTGTCTCCAGAGAGAAGAGAAAGTGTAGATCAGTACATCTGATGCTTCTGTCTTGTGGCTTTTGCAAACTCCATCTTGCTTTGGCTGGCAGTCTGGGTTCAAGAGCCCCCAGCGTCGCCATAGCTGGACTTTTTGACTTAATCCTAAATTATAGTCCAGCAGCGTCTGGGGATATGCAAGCTCCCCTTACCCCCTTACAGTAAGATGTGGGTAGAGATAAAAAAAAAGACCTTGGTTGAACTGGAGAATCTTGATGACCCTCGTGTTTTCACACTTCCAGGGTCTTGTTGTAAGAGGAAATGTATATATTTCTGAGGCTTATTGTGCATTTTGGAGAAATGAAGTGCCCACAAAATTTCTCCTTTTTTAAAAAAACACACACTTTAGCTGAAATGCATACAACTGGAGCAGCTGCCCCCTTTTAATCTCCCAATGTGTCTAAATTAGATTAAAATGCATAATACAGTAAGCCACCTTGGCTTAAGAAGAAAGGCATCATATAAATGTTTCAAATAAATAAAATAAGTAAAATGCACAAATAAATGTTCGCATGATGAAAAATGCACAAAACGGGGTCCGGATTCCAGTCCCAGAAGGGAAAAAAAGAACAAAGATGGGAAGAAAAAGCAGCCACAATTTGTAGAAACACAGCAAAATCAAGAGTAAGTTTTTCCTGTCCTCCAGTACAACAGGTAAGTGTTCTCCCCTGCTGCCTTGCAGTACGACAAAGTTCTTACATTTTGACTTTTTTTCTTCCACACGCGGTTCTTGAGAGACGGTTTGGGTTCCCTTGATGTCATCTCAGAAGGGTTTTTTGTGTGTGTGCGCGCATTCGTTTCTCAGGAAATCTCAATGCAACCAACTCCTGCAGGGCATCCAGAAGAAACAGGTCTCCACTTGCAAGCACATCCTCTAATCTTGTAATCCATATTAGGCTGGTTTTCTGAGAACCAGCCTTATGCCCGAGGGATGTCTCCTCTCCCTGTCTGTCTCTCTCTCTCCTCCCTTCAGCCAACCTGTCTCTACCAGGTTGCGTTTCCCGGGGGCCTCGGGGCCCTTCCCGTTGGCCTCCCGCTCTGCTTTCGATCTTTCTTCAGCTCCAGATTTCTTTGGGCGCTGGCTGTGGGGCATCTGGCCCCAAGACAGATGGACCGGTCCCAAACACCTCACCTTTCCCACATGTTCTCCCCAGCTCAGGTGCTGGCTTTCCAGCAAAACAGTGATTACTATGTGGGAATTTCGGTGGACAATGTTTGGTCCCTGCTTCGCAAACCGATTTTCACTAGACGATGATTTTGACAGCTCCCTCCGTGCTCGCAAAGCAGGCGTTTTCGGGACCTAAGCTTCGCAAGACAGCAATTTAGACAGCTGATCGGCGGTTCACAAAGCGGCTTTCCTATGGCCGGTCTTCGCTAGACAACGACGATTCTTCCCCATTGGAACGCATTAAACAGGTTTCAATGCGTTCCAATGGGGAAATGCTTTTTGCTAGACAATGATTTCGCTAAACAGCAATTTCAGGGGAATGGATTATCATCATCTAGCGAGGCACCACTGTAGTTTTTAACTCGTAAGTTGCATGTGACCAGCACAAGATTCCCTCCATCCAAACTGTGCTGTGAGGTTGCCCTGTGTGTGTTTGGCATGTGAGCGCCCAGCCGGCTCTGCAGTTCTCAAAAGAGGTCTAGCTCCTTCTTCTTCTGTATCTTTCAATCATACCTGTATTGGTAAAACCCTCAAAAAGCTTTTTTTTTTTTTTAAAAAAAAGGGGGGGACTGCTATTTGGCAGCACCTCCAAACAGAAGACTGCTCTCCGAGAAGGCAGAGAAGTGGCCACCTCACTTCACCACCTGCTCCTTGGGTTTCTAGATATTTTATGAGCCATGCTTGAGTTTTTTTGGCTTGCTTTATTCTGAAGGAAGGCTAAGCTGAGGCATGATGTTTCCCCTAATGTCCCAAGGGTGGCCACAAGCTCTCTTTTGGGGAGGGCGATCCTCCTTTCAAAAGTTTGCCAGAGGAGAGTCCTCTGTTTGAAGGGCTGCTGAGCTCAAACCTGACAAAAAGTAGCAGAAGAGAAAGAGACATAGGGACTCCGATGTTGCTTTTTGTCCGGAGCAACTACCTGGAGAGCACGCTCTGGAAGCAGGCCAGTCTTTTGAGTGAGGTACACTGGCATCCGTTCAAATTATACAAAACCGTTTCTAATTGCATATCCATGCATATACATTAGGACATGGGATTTAATGCAAATTGGGTGTCCTCTTCATTGCTGATGTTTACCCTCTTTTGTGGTGACGTGTAAGTGCCACCCTAAACATCATCCGTGATTTGGACTCGGGTCCTCTCAATCCTTATCTGACATTGAGTCCCTGCAACTATTGGGGGAGATGGAGACAGTCTTCATACCTGCAAGACAGTCTTCACACCTGTTTATGAACCTGAGTTTACAGGGTGTGGAAGTTAAGGACTCACCTAATGAAATTTAGGAGGAATAGTATTACCTGAGCACACAAGATTAGCATATTAGAGAGAATCACCAGATCTTTTGTAAGTCTAATGGCTCTTAATCATCCATTCAAAATCAATCTACTTCCCATAAGTGCACAATTATAACTAATTTCTTTTAGAATTGTTGTAACCTTTCCACCTGTATATTGTTGATGGGAGAATTTGCCTCCCTGCCTGTTATTGTGATGGAACACAGCTAACATAGCATAGGAAAACTTAAAAGAGGGGGCACAGAAATGTGCGTACATGTATTTAATAACTGAAGGATCATGTGCTGTAAGAAATCAGTTTGCAGGCCTTCATTCCGGGTTCATTTGTAAAAGGCTGTGCATCTCTCCCCTTCACATTTCACACATTAAAAACCTGACACAATTACTTTTTCCGAAATCATAACATTTTATTTCCCAGTCATCTGCAAGAACAACAGCTACAAAATATTCAATGCGTCCCGAAAGTTGCCTTTTCGAAGCATCATACAGAATATTTACAGAACAATTGAACAATGCTGGATTTTTAGTGGCAACAGCTGCATTTATCCGACGACGGCTCTTTGCAGACGCAGCCTTTGGAGCAGTTGTCGCAGCTGGCTGGGCAACAGGAACAACAGCCTGGGAGGGGGAAAAAAAAGAGTTCAAAAGCCATGAGTTCTGGGCTCACAACTTAGGGTCTCTTTTAGACATTTAACCGCCTGGCACGACGAGAAATTTAAGGAGAATTCTGCTCTGCAATACCTCTATCTAGACAGTGAGATCACAGGCCAGGAGCAACCAGCTCTGCTATCCACATCATTGTTAACACACGTGAAATTTAAATAAGGATTTCCCACCTGACAGATGTTTCCATACATCCTTGGAATCCTAACTTGGTCCAGATGCAAATGCATCTCAAGAGTTGTGCAGCAATGCTTATTTGGCATTAACCATTTACTATTTATTCAAGAATGAAAAGGTCACAACCTATTTAACACAAACTCCTGAGAAACACAGGAAAGGTTACCATCAAACCTTTCACACTCTCTGATTCTGCAGATATTCGCTTAGAAATTGGGCCACATTGTTCAGCTTCTAAGCAAAGACATTAGGAGGCCAGGGTTGGATTCTAGGTTTTAATGGTTCCTTTGGACGTGGGGGAAAATGGCCCGAAGGTTCATCTCCTGGTGTTCCACAGATCCATATTTTGATTACTCACTTTTTTTGCATGAGGTACACTTGCAGTTCTTGCATTTACAGGAACCTGCACAGGAACAAGAGCCACCTAGGGAGAAAAGAGAGAGAGAGAAAAAATAATACATAGCAGAAATTAAATTAGTGCTGCAGACCACCCCACTCAGAAGAATATGCTCGCAATCTAGCTTTTTATGTAATGCCCAGAGGGTTGGCCAAAGATCACCATTTCGGTCTCAGTAACACTCAAATATGTTAGAGACAAGATTTAAAGTCTTGGTCGCTCACTTTGGGAGTTGCTGGACCCCTGAAGGCAAACAAAGGAAGAGGAACATCTAACTTTATCTAAGTAAGCAAGGCATATCTTGTTGCGATCAAGGAATGTGATCTGTGAAGTGATCCGTAAGCACACCAACCTGGAAATAAAACCCCACTGATCACAAACGGGACATCTCCCCAGATGTGTAGCAACGGTGGAGTCCTCAGAAGTTCTGGGACTCAAGACTCCCAGAAGCCTCCCCCATGAGCGGTGCTGGCCAGGATTTCTGGGTCAAACGGGATGTCTCCCCAGATGTGTAGCAATGGTGGAGTCCTCAGAAGGTCTTGGACTCAAGACTCCCAGAAGGCCACCCCCCCCCCATGAGCTGTGCTGGCCAGGATTTCTGGGAGTTGTGATCCATAGAGCTCTCTGGAGCAGATAAACTGTTATTTTAAAAGTTGGCCTTAAGGTGCAACTATATCCACAAGACCCTAAGAAGAAATGTCACATTCGGCGCATCAAGTGCCTACAAAACCATGCGCTCTAAAACAGAAGTTAGCAACTCTCAGATCATGGGCTGCATCTGGGCACCGGAGAATTTTTCCAGGTAGATCTCCCCGTTTCACCTGCAACTTGCCAGAGCCTCAATTCAGAGGCAATTAAGTCATTAGTTTCCAGGTGCACTGCAGACACACAGAAACTAATTGCTTCCATGAAGAAGCGCTTAGGCTCAATTGCATCAAGGGTAGAGGAGAGAAGTAGTATTTTTTTTAAAGATAGATCCTTCTAAGAAACTAACTCAGGATCACAAACTTTAGGTAAATTAGAAAAAGAGGTTTCCCTTAACTTACTTAGGTGGCCGAGCTATTTGAATTCTAGAAAGCGATTCTAGGAATCTTCAGGCAGATAAAACAGGAATTTCCAGGATTATTCAGCGCCAGAAGTGTGGAAAAACATCTGGGAGCCCTGCTAGAAGTTCCATCAGAGAAACTGACTAGTTAAGGGCCCCAAAAAGCCTAAGAACTTTCTCATTGGATGGAGGTGGGTCAAAGTCTCTCCCTCCTTCTTGCCGCCTGAGTTAGCAACCTACCTCACAGGGTTGTTGTGATGATGGAAAGCAGGGAGGGAAGAGATTCACGGTTGGAGGGAAAAAATCAGGATATAAATGGGAGCCGTCAGATTTGCAATTTGCAAATTTAGCCGGCAGGGCATCATCATCATTGCAGAAATAAAGAGTTTACCAAGATGAGTTTTCATGGAAAAGGCGGGACTAGGAGGGGTTCCCCCCCCGCCCCAAAGTCTAGATTCAGTTTAGGAAAAAAAAGAAGAAGCAGCAGCAGCATCTCCTCTCGTAGGATTTAAAGTATTTCGAATCTAAATGTATGTATTTACTTCTTTAAAATATTTTCATCCGGGCTTTCTCCTTAAAAAGAGCCCAAAACGGCTGACATCTTTGAAAAAGACCGTATTATTTACTTCTTTAAAATATTTTCATCCGGGCTTTCTCCTTAAAAAGAGCCCAAAACGGCTGACATCTTTGAAAAAGACCGTATTAAACAACTTAAAACGGTTAGGTATACAACTATTCAAAAAATATATATTAAAAGACATGAAACACAGGAATGGAAGCGACGCGACATCGCCTTGAAAAATTCAGAGCGTCTTTTCGCCCGAGACTCCGGTTGGTGTTCCCTGAGAGTCCAAGGAAGGAAGAAAAAGGGGAGGTCGCACAAGCCTGGAAGATGGGCTTTGTAGTCGATAGCGGTTAGAACACAGGGAAAGCCTTGCAGAGGCACCAAGGAGAAAGAAAGGAGGCTTGCTCACCGGTGGCGCAGGCGCAGTCCTCCGGATCCATCCTGTTCTGGAGCTGGCGGAGGCGGAGGCGAAGAGCTGGAGCAAAGGCGAGAGTCTCGGGAGGCGATGCTCCGGGGCCGCCTCCGACCGGCTATTTATCGCCGCTCGCCAGAGGCTGGCCGGCCGGCCCGCAATCCCGGCGCAAAAACGCCCGCCTCCTGCGCCGGGCGCAACTCCCAACCCCTGCGCGCGGGCGAGCGAGCACGAGCGCGCACGGCCCTGGCATCCGGGTCCGGGTGCAAAGGAGCCCCTTGCCCGCATCCGGATCTGGAGCGCCGGCCAAGGTCCGGGACCTCGTCCCTAATCGGAGCCGAGCGCAAGCAGTCCCCTTCATCCATCTAGGAAAGTGACTTTTTCTCTCTCTTTTTAAAGAGTGTTTCCAGATCCAAGCGCCGTCTTTGCGCCCTTGCAGAATTCTTCGCGCAAATGTCGAACCCCGGGCCCTTGCTACAAGTTCTCGCCCCCCCCCCAGTGTCCAGGGGGAGAGAGGGCTAGGCAGGGGTCCTTCCCTCCCCAAGATTATTATTATTTTTTTAAATTTCTTTGGTTTGATGTGCACAGGGCAGAAATCCAGTAGTAAGTCACCCCACTGAATCCGTGGAAGCTCAGGGAGAAGCTGACTCACCAAGTCCCCACGGATTCAATGGGTCTACTCTAGGGTTGGCATGCGACTGACTTTCAGCCCCTGCGCTGGTCAAAAGAGCATCTTCTAATAAGCTACTTTCCTAGCGGGTCACTAAGGCTTGCGTGTACAACTGCACCCCTTTCTCTGCCCAGCCATCATCATCTTCTTAGAACTGCATTGCTGGAAGGGACCC